GAATATTTGGCATACAGTCATCAACCGGTCAATGACACAAACATTTTTATTGACTGGATCACATCCCTCACACAGCGGCTCCTCAAAAACTGAATTGTACAAAAGCTGATGAAGTATTTACACTATACAAATTAGTACTTTAAAACTTTTTATCTTGCATACCTGTTGAGGACTGAATATTTTGGTCAAAACAGCATCAACACCATTCAATGACACAGTCACAAGTTGCTTGATTGGGATATGGCATCAAAAGTTGGTTTGACTTACATCTGAGAGATATTCTCCTCAAGGGACTCATGTTAGTTCACCTGGAGGTCTCATGTATTGAACAGAGGTCATCCATGCATAGTGTTTGGAAGTCCGGTCTCGTGACTGGAAAAAGACCGTAACCAGACCGGACCAAGACCGCAAAAGACCGGACCTGCGGTTACGGTCTTTTATTTTTGAAATGTAAAGACCGCAAAAAGACCGGTTAACGTGAACCGGTCTTGACCGGTTTGGACCGGTTTTTTGTAGCCCCTTAAATACCCTTTAAAACGCACCCAAGAACGTACGATTTGGTAAAAAAACGAGAGAGATATGAATTAAAATGTAAATTACTTTTGGGAATAATAGATGTACCAGACTTATTTTATAGAAGCACCAATACCTAACGGGATTTAACGTTCTTGGGCTCGTTTTGAAGCTATTAGAGATGTTAATAAATTTACCGATTCATAGTTTTAAAATATTGGCCTAAAGACCGGTCATAAACCGGTTAAAACTGATGCAGACCGAAACCGGTCTATAGACCGCAAAAAACCGCGGTCTGCGGTCTTTTTGCGGTCCGGTCTGGTCTTTTGACTTCTGGGGAAAAGGCAGACCGGTTACGGTTACGGTTAACGCCCCTGGGCATCAAAAAACCGGACCGAACCGGACTTTCAAACACTATCCATGCATTTTAGGCTGTCAGCTAAGGCGAGGCGGAGGAAAGATTTTCATTTGACAGGTAAACCCAATTTGGATGCATCACAAACTCTGTCACATTTGGTAACCCATCTCAGCATTGTTTCACATCTTTTCCTTGCTGACAGTCCCTACAAGCCAGTACACTCCTAGATAAATTTTGATTATTGTACCCTATGTATTTTGTATTCAGGGACTGTCAAAATAAATCTCAGTCTTCAAGAGATTGTTGCCAGATCAGGGCAATGGAATTGTCAAAGCCTGATCAAAACCGATGAATAAAGCTTTTAAGGAGTTCAAGAGAGGCTCTTGCCTCAAAAAAAGCACAGTTATATTGATATAGTATTCCCTTACAACGATATAAAATTTCTAAGAAATGTGAGCAAAAATGGGGGAGCAAAACTGTTTTGTGTCATTGACCCAGCTGTGTCATTGACCAGTTGATGACTGTAGTGGTTCCACTAGAACAATAATGTAAGGATTTTCTAATATCTTTAGAGGGTCACACATCTTGCAGTATTACTAATTGTATCATTGTGGTCTTAGGAGCCAATTTTTCATGCATCTATGATTCAAAGGCAACACTGGTTCATGTTTTTCTTTCTTTCTAATGTCCAGGAATAACAGAAGCTCTTATCTTCCTATGTAGCTTTTGAAAGATCTTTCCAACTACCAAACCCAAACTGTACTACGGACCTTCTGATAACTTTAAACTTTACAGAGATGGGCCTTCGAGTCGGCACAATGGATGACTTAATCACAGACTCTGTGCAGATTATGATTGGTCTCACCAGTGATGCAATTACTGTGGTTGAAAGAACACCTGGCACCGCAATACCCCCAGGGGTTAACAGGGCTGGTGATGTCACCTGGGAGTTGCGTCAGCTGTTAAAAAGACCTCACCTGTCTACCTTTGCAAGTATATTTGATGTAAGTATCATGCTAGCATTAAATCTCCGTTTACTGTTGACCACAGCTCTCCCCTTTCCCAGTCTTATGAAACTATTGCGATAGCACGTATACCCAATGTATATTCTGATCATTTGGCATCATCAAGTCCCTCATTCAGCAGGGTCGCAATATCTCAAGGGGGTGGCGGAATGTGGAAAAGAGACCAACACTCGTTATTTTTTTTTCAGGGTTCCGCCTGACACCCCCCCCACCATTACCTTCCTAATAAAGTATGTTTTCCCCATACTCATGTTTTTTTTTTTTTTTGAATTCAAAAATTTCCGTGTAACAAGTAAGCTACACACACAGGTGGTTGACCGTAAACTAAGCCTAGGGGTCGTAAGGATGCATATAGCAGGCTGTTGAAACAACGGCTATAGGGTATTCGTGAGGGATCCATCACGGCCAGCCGCGTCGCAAGAAACCCAGGCGTCGAGAGTGGTGTAACTGGTTGCAAGTAGGTCATGATCAGTGTAAAGATAGTTATGACGAGACCAGCATGAGAAAATTTGAAATTGACGGCGTCAACTTTTTTTTTTCGGCCTTCGGCCGGACACCCCCCCTCCTACCCTTGGTTCGGGATCCACGTCCCGCTACCCCCTTGCAATATCTCCACCTTCCGTGTGACTATGCAATATGATTTCTCCGAATCAAGGATGGTACAGGATTACAGAAGCAAGTCCGTTCTACAAGGATTTTCCCAAGTTGGAAGGTTTATGGACCTTCCTAACGGGTGTGTTTGCGGCAATATTTGGAAGTACCATCATCCGAATTCTTTCTCCTTCTTTTTTCATGTTTTCAGACTCCACTCTCTTTAGGAATTAAACCGATTTCATTTCTCGGACTAGCCCACTCTACGCAGCGGGGAAAAATACGGAAGGCCTGCCACGAAGAATATCTGAAAATTAGGGAGCAGATTCGACAACCCGCTAGTGAACGGGGTTTGCTTTCATTCATTTGCGATCAACTCATCGACGTTGGATTTCTTGATGATGAAGTCGACGAGGCAAATGACGCTGACTCCTTTGTTAATCAAGAACTCGATCAGGTCGAAATGTCCCAATTGTAGGGATATGTCGGAATTGGGCCTGGTGCAGATATGTTTTACTGTCGAGTCTTGTTACGACCGTTCTACGCATACGCATCTCGGACTCTTTCCAACTCACTCCACACCCTTCGTTACTCCCTCCATGCCTGCGAAATCTCGTCTCTGTCTTCCCGGACACTTTATCGTTTTCACATTTTGGTACTTGAACCCTGTCTCGTTACTATGAACACTTATTGTTATATTTCACGCAATATATCCCCCTTCAGTACAGGCACAGCATCCAATACTCTTGGGTAGTATTACCTTGAATACTAGACATTGAGCATACCCTCAACCTTCAAGTCTGAGCCGTCTTTCAACGACGCTGGCTCAGCGCTGCATTTGAGTAGTACTGCACATAAATGGCTGACGTTCCTCCACATCTCATTGACGTTCGAAACTCTACTGGGAAGTTCGATGCCGACCATAAGTGCTAAGTCAAGGAAACGTGCCAGATCATGGTTCAAGAAAGGACAGACACTCCAAGTCCCAGCAGATTGTGCTGCGAGGGCGGCGGGCCCAGACTCTGTCAAGGAGGTGGATGTTGTGTGCACGGTGCGGTGGGCTTAGGCCGTCGATTAACGTATATGGGCGGGAGCGTTGGCATGTTGTGATTTGTAGTCGAGATCGAGTCAAGTGGTGAGATGAAGATGAAGATAGATGTTCGCGTCTGTGATATAAAGCTGATGGTCAGTGTCGTATAGGACTCGAGTGATCCTGGCGCGATCCACCGGGATAGGTTGGCTATCTGAAACGAAAGGTACGTTAGCCGCAATGAACTCAAAGTCTTGTGACTTACTTTACTGAAAGGTCTTTCCAACGATACACCCAGCTCTGTGGTCCAATCAAGAGGTGTCAGATCGGTCGATTTGCGACGTGTGATCTGGCCACGCGAGCTTGACACCGGTAATTTCCGAGGGTCGGTATGTCAGCGGCAAAGTGATGGCTCATCAATAGGATCACCAGCAGTGACTGATTCACAAAGAGAAAAGTTCAGCGAAAGTCAATAAAGATAACAGTGTGTTGGTATAGGAAGGATATCGATAAAAAACATGATTGTTGTAGGACATTTGAGCTGGACATGCTCTTTGTTGATGTGGTGATAGTAAGAAAGGATCCTCTACAACAATGCAACAACAGATGTACTGAGTTTATAGGGTCTACTAGCTTGATGCCGACAAAGGGGGTTGGATGTGTGGTCATACCCATGTTTGATGTAGGTTGGGCACAGGAGATGCATCACTCGAGTAGAGGCTGGTTTCTTCGCTGAAAAATGAAACCCAGTTATGTGACGAGTTAACTATGAACAGATGAAGGCACATTTGATGCTGAAAATAAGCTATATACAAGTATATTATACATCAAGCCTTGACATGTTTTTGTAGGATATGTCGAGGAGGACGCGTCGTTTTGCCTACGATGCGTCTGGAGATGGTGGAAGAATGATAGGATGCCATCAACGCTGCCGCATTGCCGTATTTCCTTATTTGGGGGGGTAGGTGGGGGGGTACCCTGCCATCATTCACGTAGCAGATCGACCGATCTGACACCTCTTGGGTCCAATCAGACCCAAACGCACAATAGGAAGTATCACCTGACGATAGTTCCTAGCGTTCGAAGACGAAGATTCCTTGCGGATCCGATACGGGAGGATTGTGGTTGAGAATGAGGAGGTGGACAGATCCGTTGACGATTGAGTTGAAGCAAGATAGAGACAACTGGGAGAAAGGGCGATGGATAGGCGTGAAGTCCAAGCATTGGTTTGGCGGCAACGAGAGCAGGTGGGGACCGTCGGGTTGGCATAGCCTATATCCGTATTGAGGATCTGCAGAGTCGTGATTGAAAGTACAAAAACAGCCGGGAAACTGACCAACTTCTGCTTGCGCGTACTTCGTAACGAGGATCGGAATGAAGGCAATACAAGAAGGAGGATTATATATGAGAACAATCAGGTAAAATAGAGAAAACTCACCAATGGTGATGGAGCTTCGAACTTTGCATAAGCCCGTCGAGTTCGATTCCCGTGGAGACTCAGAGAAGGCCATCTCCGCAACGCAACCTCAAAAGGGGATTTGCCTTTCGAAGAAGGAAGTGTCAGTCAGGGGCTATAAGGTGTGTCGGTAGCAGGTTGCTTGACAATGCTTGTCGATGTCGCGGTCGACGTTGATGATGATGACAAACCTGTCCCAAGCGCTCATGATGTTGCTGAGTCGTTAACGCTTTGATCCGCTCTGGCAAATTTCCACCACGTCAGCTACGGAATTTAAATTCTCAAATGGCTCCGAGTTTTATTCTGAATTGACAACGCAGGAGGCTCATGCGCTGTCGCAGGCCTGAGGCTTCGCCCAACCATGTAATTGGTGCAGAGAATGGGGGACAAACCGAACTCTGTCTCCGAGCATTGTAGTGATTCGACCCACAGACATAAACCGACCCACCTGTAAGAGCTGAAGAAACAGTTGGGGTGAAATCCTTCGGCAACGTTACTTGACAAGATACACGCGTGTACTATGGGTCCTCAACACCCTCACATCACATTGAGCCTTCCCCTGCGGTATTGTAGGTGATGGGAAACCCTTGAGCCTCGTCCTGCATTCCAGCGTGAAAGTGATATGGAAGTACCGACACGCACTAAAAAGTGCCAATGAAAAATAGCGTGCAAGGGAAAAGCCACGTGAAATCCATAAAATCGCGCTGGTCCACCTATCCAAGGCCATCCTCAAGTGGCCTCTTTATTCCACGCCAAACTACATCCAACATCTCGTCCGTGGCCATCTCCACATGCGGTGGGGATGACCGTGTTGCTGGCTTATCGCTTCGGAGGCTCGTTCGGTCATTCGAGCTTGTAAGGTAATCCGCGGGTGAAGAACACGCAATGTTTTCGAGTACTAGGCCTAGGCCTAAATAGACAGTTAAAGCCAGAAAAACCAGCTTACTCGGTGTGAAAAGAACACCAAAAAGCCGCCGAGACGAATGGAAGATCGAGGGGGAAAACGGCAAACGCCCGGGTCGCTGAATGGGGGTCGACGCCGACAAACCAAGCCCGAGGTGAAGGAAGTGATGCACTTCTGGAGAAAGGCGATGTCGTAAAAATTAGGAACGACACCCTCCTTGTGAGCTAAATCGATTCATTGCTGAACGTTGGTGGAGGGCGACTGGTACTGGTGGTGGTGAGCGGACAGAATGTCTACCACAATTGACCACGCCTTGAACGGAAAGGAGAGCATTTCGATGTTGCCCACGCTCGACGGACGAACATAGGGAGCGGGAGTCGAACAGCTACAGAGGGAAGTGGGGGGATACGCGTTATCGTTATCGAATCAGGCGAGAAGTTAATGTATTCCGAGCGCTCCTGGAAGTGAAAGAAGTTCGTGACAACATTATAGAACTTCTTGACGACGTAGCCTCGCAGTGTCGAGCAAGCTTGAGAAACTCTATCTGAGTCGTCGGAGGTTCTCCTCCACTGGTGGAGAGGGCTGGCGTCGCTTTCTCGTCCTTGGGGGCGGGTGTCGTCCTGTGTCATCCTGCCGTGGTTGTCCGCCCTTCGTCGTGCACACCGCATCGGCGGGTGGCAGGTCATCGTCTCACTAACCCCTTCACCACGATCCACTTCCTCCTCCTCCTCCTCCTCCTCCTCCTCCTCGTCTTCTTCACCACCACCACCACCACCCTGATGAATCCTGGCTCCCCAGCCCGTATCCGCAAGATCCACATCTCATCGGCACGATTCACCGCCTTTTGCCGATCAGCGGGTGCGAGAATTAGTAGCCCATAGTCCAGGGGTCATTTTTTCGCCAAGCGAGGGTATCAAGAAATTCTGCAGAAATGAGAGTCTCATCAGAACATTGAACATTGAACGTACTAACATCGTCCTCAGGACGTAGCATCCAAACGACAGTTGCCGTCGGATTCAATAGCTACAGCCGTCGAACAACCACGACCGTCGCTGCAACCCCGGACCAGGACATCACCTGGACGCTCAACGGCCGGGGGGTTTGAAACTGGGTGATGGGGCATCGTTGGCCCTCAAACCTTTCTTCGTCCGATTGGCGGTTCCCGGTTTCGTTAACCCACCTGTATGATTGGGCCCGAATGTCGTTCTATAGCCACGTCGGCGTCATGCATCATGAGCGTGTCGCGTTAGATTCTGCATCCAAGCTCTGTAAAAATGGAGGTCGTGACGAAGAAAAGTTTGGCCATCACATGATGAGCGAACTGGTTACATAATATCACACGATAATTCGAAAACATTGGAGAGGCGCATGGTCCGCAAAGCTGGCGTGATGTTTGCTCATGTTTGGCCCACGCATATTGACCAGTGATTGATGGTTAAGCAGCTTTTTGGCCGCATTTTGGCCGATTTTGAGCAGATCTTTGTCCATATCAAGAGAAATTTTGTACGCACAGGGGGTCTTCAGATTTTTGAAATTCACATCCTATTGTAGATATCTCGATGTAAATGTACACTCAATGATATAAACACAAAAAAAGACTCTGAAGGCCCCCAAGAGCCACAAAACACATGTCGACTGGAGAAAAAATGGGAGGGATAGAGGTCCGTGGTGAGGAGAAAAGTTGTTATTAAATTTTGACGCGCCAGACTGTAATTAACGGATTACGTAACACGCGCGTCGTACCTTGGTGTCGCGAAAAACGACGTACCTCCATCCTTCGACGCGTCATTCTTCCTGGTAATATTTCGAAATTCAATACTCACCAACCTCATAATACAGGAAAGAAACAAGCTTAGGCTCTTGTCACAGTTCCAGAAATGGAGGGAAACATTGAGACTGTTTGCAAACTGTTTCAAGAGCCACATGAAGAACAACGACGATCGATGAACAAAAGCTTGTACCGAAGGAAGTCGTGGCAAGGTTCATTGCTCGAGAACTTCCCGTGCACGCGTTGGCCCAAGAGTCACTTTC